TCTCCTCGTATGTGTACATTCTCATTTTTGTTTTCCGCGTAATTTAATGCAACTAATTATAAGTCAAACCGCGCACTGCCGGTCCCAGGAATACGAGAGCATAGCCGACGATATGCGCCGCACGGCTCGCGATATGCAGTTTATTGGAATTATATACAATGGTTATAACCATGCGAAAAAGGGCGCAGACATACACAATGAGGAAAATTACAAGTTCCAGAGATCAGACCAATGTATTTTATATTTAACCCGCTCCCGGACAAACGGTTATGGCCCGGTAGTAGTGAGATCGAGTGGATGGATGACGGTGTGTAAAAGCCAAAGGATTCTGCGTTCTCAAGCCTGCCTCGCCTACGAAATCGAGTTTGCAATAACACCCGCTTGGAATTCGTGACGAACATCCAAGTGAGAAATTCCCATTGGCAATTCAGCGGTGAGCGGCTCGATGTTGGCGAAATATCAATGCGTCGGCGATTTGTAAACCCCAAGTTTTTTTTATGACCCAAAAAGTGGTCATATTTTTTAACTTCGAATCGGTGGAGGGAAGAAGGTCATATATTTTTTAACTTCGGTTCTCTTTCAACGACACCATGCGTACAGCGTGTTAGTTTTTCACGGTACAAAATAGTAATATAGCTCACGTTAATGAGTTGCTTAAACGACATTTGCTTTCAAGTTATTTATTTAAATTAAAAATAATTCCCTAAATGGGGAACGAGCGAGGTCCTTTCTCTTTAAAGAGAAAATTCGAGTAAAACGCTACCTCGCCGTGCCATTCAGCACAGCCTCTGTTAGCGGATCGTTGATCGAGTGCAAAACCATGCCACCCAACCGACTCACATTTATGCGCCATGAATCAGAGGCTATCACGTTCACATTTCGCGTCCGAGAGATAGGCGATGGAAAATGTCAGTGGCAGGGCGTAACAAACGTGAGACGCATCCCCGAGGATCGTGCACTTGCACTTTCGAAACGCATACTTGCGAGAACACGTAAACCCTATCTCCCCGCCGCCGCGCACCAATCGAATGCCCCGCGTAACTGCACTACAATCGTCGTCAATTATGATACTCCCATTGTACTGCGCGCATATTATCCCTGCCCGGTTTCTAATTTAGACGCCTCGAGCGCGGTAACGGGAATCGGTACATCGGCAGGTTTCTCGCAACTTTGTCATCGCGTGTCTTCTAACGCAGACATAAAGAGAGATTGAACGGGCATTCAACCCGACGTTCGCAATTGCCGAACTTTTGCGACCCGGTGCCTTCGCAGAAGGATGCTACCTCGGGGGAAAGCCACGGAAATTGCGTCATCTCGTAGCTGCCGGTCCTCGCAGTTTTCCCAGACACTTTCTACGCGATCTTTCATCCCGAATTATGCGCCGCTTCGCATGATTAAGGGCTCGCATAACGCGCGCATGTAGGCGCGGAACAATTCTATTCAGGAGGGGAAGAACGTCGGATTACCTCTCTTCAAATTAGTCTAATCTCCATTTTTTTACAACGTAAAATGATAGTTCGAAACGGCGAGGAAGAGAAAGGTTCGAGCGAATGTTACACCATTGTGTTGTTATGGACATTTCACACGTGCTAAATGTAAGAGCGCGTTAACAGTAATAAGATTACTGTTTCTCCGAAAAGGTAATATTCGAGAGCGTATTACGTCGCTTGCGGTAACGGCGTATAACTGGAATACTGAATTTCAGATCAGCATTATTGATCATGCATCGCACACAAAGTGCTTTCGCCCTAGTGGCAATCGGGCTGCGTGACACAAAATAAAATGAGATTGCTCACGGCGACGTGATTGTGTCGATCGCCCCCTCCCCCGATCGGACCGAGCGTTTCTCGCGGACGCACAAGCTTTTCCTTATTAGGCCCGAGCTCTCTCATCCATGAAACAGATATTTAAGTAATAAGATATTAATATACACCGCGAAATTTGTTTCAAAATAATTAATTCGTTATCTAATCTTACAAGTTAACGTAATGCATGTAAAATAATTCATAATTAGCGGGTGCTTTTTAAAACACGTGTAGCTGTGAAATATTGTGTAAGAAAATGGAGCGAGAAATGTGTTTCTCTAAAATATAATTTCATTTCTGAAACTAGAGCAGGAACAGCTCGTTGCGAAAATGGTAAGAGGAATTATGCTCCTCGCGCGCGCCTGAGTGGAGATTACAAGACCGGAATGTCTGCACAAGCAACGGTACGTGATGTAGCGGCGATATTGTTTGCGAAACAACTCGCGTGCGAAACTATCGAAAATTGTATCGTCAACATCGCACGCTTTCGAAGCTTCGAAATTATGCTTATCACGTCGGACAAAAGTCAGGTGGATTAGATAACTTCGTTGTGGTAATACAACGTTATCGGACATTCGCACGCTCACCGGATGGAATTTAAAACAATGCGATTCTGCAATTAAGGTGCGGTGCTCGCTTGAAACAGTGAAAGAAAGGGAGAGAGAGAGAAAGAGAGAGAGGGGGGGCGCACATCTCTAATTAAAACGGATTATTCAGCAACAATGTGTTACAACAAAGCCAGTTTTTTTTTTCGTCCAAAAAGACGGATCTCGCAGTGTCGAAAAGGTGGACGACGTATCGGGGAAACCTATAAGAAAAATGAAAGGAGGCGCGGTGATGAAAATAAAAGGGAGAAGCTGCGAATTGCGAGGTACACGCGTAGCATGCGATCTCGTGTTTGCGTGTAAAACTGTATTTACACGGCTCGCGGAGCACACGCGGGAGTATCTTCGCGATCTTATCGAACTCATCGTATTTCGTGCCGCTCGCGATCGTTGCGCTTCGCGGATTTCCGCACTGATAGGTCGGAGAGAAAAAAGAGAAGAGTCACTGCGCTTCTTCGCAGAGTCACCCTTTTTCCTTTCCTTCATCGCGGAAGCTGTCCGTTTCGATCGATGGTTAATCGAACTCCGATCGCGCGGATTTGCTAGTCAGATTTTAAGAACGTTACGAGAACGCGCCTACGAGAGAAAGCAACGCGTTTCGTAATTCGTATTAACGCGTGACATTTCATGCGAAAATGAATGTCGTGCGAGAAATTAATCGCTACGTCGAATTTCTTTTCAGAAATATTCACGGTAGAACTTTTGTCCATCTCAACGATTCTTGTGCCAAAGTCAAGCGCGGACACAGTTCGGACATAGTATTTTGAGATTCGTGTTTAAATTTTGTATTCAGCCGATTTGTTGGCTGAAGAGTCGACGTAGTTTCCGAAAACCGGCCTTTTCCTTCGCAGATTGTACAGATTCACCGAGAGCTCTCTGCGTGTCTGAACCGAGCGAAGAGCATCAATGGCTGTGAGCTCGTTGTAATGATCCGCCGCGTTTCTCGCGACGAGGTAACACACGTTGCTGAAATAATTGTTCCACGCGGGTGGCAATAATCAGTACACATTGTATAATGATCAATTGTGCCGGTTTCGCGGCGGGTCCCACGGTACCAGCCGGGATGGCTCACTCATTACGGTCTTTCCAGCGAAGAAGAGCGTCTCTCTGCGCGCCACGTAACCGTTATTATTTACTCAGTCAGTCGCTACAAGGTACTTTCATCCTTATGCAACGGGTCTAGATGCTATCTGCTTTCCTCCGCTTCCATCGCTTGCGCCCGCTTTGCGAAATCGCCGACCCGCTCTTGGGAACCGTCCGCGGACGCTTCATCTTCTATTTTCGATCTAATTTCCAATCGTACAGCTCGATCGAACGGCGAGGCGACCTTGCATGCCTGCGCAAGCTGATTCGCGGAACCGTGGCAATATTGTTCTTATGCTAGATTCGATTATGTGCGTGCGCCGCATAACGCGATCGTTATTCCGAAATTGGTGGAAACAGGTTGGTCAATTAGCCTCAAGCGTGACTGCCGATCACGTCCTTTTTTTTCCTGCGGAGTAACGAAAACGACTTGTCAGAGAGTCGAGGTGACCCGTCTCAATTTTTACCTTGTATGCATTTTTGTTACTTCTGATTTGTCTGGTCATTTATCGTGCAGCGGCGCTGATATGCTTTGCATGTCCCTATTTCACGACACGATACGCTTATCAAACGACACGACCCACTGGCTTTGGCGCAATAATGCAATTTTTAGCAATGTCGAGCGTAGAATAAAGACTCGGTCCGGTATCTAATTCGGTGTAGCGAGTGGTTTTGCCGCCTGATTTTTGCCAATCACTAATCGATTCGATTTATGTTGCCGATTTGTCCGCACACGTACATACGTATCCTATCTCGAGGCGGACACCCACGCCCGCCTCCAGACAGGTTTGTCAAGTGCGTCAATCTTCGCGTAAAACACGTTCAAAGGACAGAAGTGGCACATTACTACGGTGCGGTCTCCGATTAGACTTCCTAGTAAGTAATTTAATAACGAATACATCTCGGCTATTGTTTTTCACCGCATGAGTAAACCTTCACGCTAATGCATTGCAATTTTATGCCCACTCGCCGTGACGCACGCATTTACGTGCATCAAAGTGTTCAATTTGCTTGGGAACAGCGGTTTTTTCGTCGAAATATTTGTTCAACTCACCGCAATCACATAAAACGGCCGGCACCTTTGTCCGTAAGACATAAGTAGGTTTGTTTTTCGTAGAAATTCTTACATAATAGATTTTCTAGCCAATTGTTGAATTATATAAATTTGAGGGCGAATCTAGTATATCCGTTGAAAGTGTTGTTTTATAATGTACCGTAAGGAAGGGGGAAACGCACACAGATGAACGGAACTAGTTGCCGTTTAATTTAATGGATGCAACACGATTTGACGATCTTGCTTATCGAATTGGAACTGATTTTTATTCGCTCCTCGTCCCCGGAATTCTCAGCGAAGCATGTCGCGAAGGTGCCTTAGGTGGCCGGGTTTATTTTTCCTCTTTTATGAGCGCGCGTAAGTGGGCACGCGCGCTCACGCACATACAGGTGCCAGCGTGTATCGTCGGCTATGTACTGTTAGCTGAATGTGGGATACGAGGTGGATACTCACGGGTAACTGCTGGTTCCATTATCGCGCAGATGCTCCAACAGCCGATTTCTAATGCCCGGCAATCTACCGATTGCCGGGACGCCCCAACTCGACGCAATCGATCTTTAATTTGCGTCATCGCGCGTGAATGAAGCGATCGCGTTAGCAATGAAACCATGTTACGCACGTAGCTTTCGCATCGCGTTGATGGATGCTAATATCAAGTTTCCAGGCGGTCGATATGGATCAACGGGCGTCATAAGAGAGAAATTTTAGAGTACGCCGCGAAATGGCGATTCATTAATCCCGCCGTGAAAAGCAAATCATGATCGGATGTTGTGCGTACAGGTATGTGGGGTACGATGGAGTTTCCTATACCATTACGCTCTGTGGGAAACGATACGACATGCTGTATGACTCGATAATACGTCGACGGTCTAGAAAGTGGTTAACATTTTGGCCCCGTTTTTACTGCCGTGAACCGTGCCGGTAGAGGCAGACAAAACCTGTCGGGCTTGTGTGCTCCCCCTGTGTGTGCGGCGTGTGTGTCTTTCCCACACACAGTCGTGTCTACTTGCGCTAATCCCAGACCGTATACTCTCCGTATCTCGGTTAATTTTACATCTCTGTTTCCTCGGGGCCTTTCTAAGATAGGAAACTGTTAGAAACGAGTACGGAGCGAACAATGATGTCTTACATTTTCATTACAATTAATTACCCTCCTTCGCAATCCGCGGATATTAAATAACAACTCGACGTTGATCAGCGTAATTTTACGCAATACGACGATCGCACTGATCTCTCGCCACAGGCCGGATTACGCTAGTAATAATATAATAATCGGTACTGTAACAATCTGACGCGTTCAGTATCATCACCGCGGTATGGTTTGTTTTCCGCAGAATCGTAACACAGTGCGAGCTATGTGAAGTTATGTGAAGTTATGTAAAGTAGTAGAATAAGTTAGGAGCACAAATAGTGGAAGTTAACATAGTTTCTGAGTTACACATGCTACTCATACTCGGTAAATATTCCTCTAATGCAACGTGCGCGCGAAAACCTTACGTTACAAAATCGTCACGAATCAAATCGCGTTACGAAGTGTAGCAGGCGGAACAAAAGTCGATAAATATCCGTTCGAAACGTATCGATTTCCGAGTTCTCGGCTAAATCCGCGGTCGGATTTCGCAGCCGCTCTAAAAGTCACCGGCGCGCGACTCCGGTGACTTGCGTAATTAGGAGAGACCAGTGCCAGGTAAGGAGAGATTTTGACTTCTGTGGACGTTTACATAACGGCACGAGATGGAATGTCAACCTGTGCTACACCGTGATTGCCATACGCACCTATCCGCGTATACGTCTGTAACGGTAACACTTACGCGGAATCGCAGCATCGCGAAACCGTGGAAGACGCGTGAAAAAGAAAACCGATTTTCCGCAGGAAAAATAAACGCGACAATCTATACGGCAACGACACGTTAGACGTTTGGCTTCTAAGCCTGTCAGTCATTTTGTCGAAATTATTGACGAATTACCATTTGCATCATATTTCAGGACGAAATTCTATTTATAATATTAATGTAAAAATTATTTGAAGAATTGGAATACATAAATTGCGTATAAATTAATTGATACATGCTAAAATACGCAGTGTATAAAACAGAATCCTATTTTGAACAACAACATTAACAATGAATTATGATGGTCAGAATAAAGTTAAAAACGGATCTTGTTAATTATCGGCTTATCTTACTCACAGTCTGAATCATTAAAATTTATATTAATCCTGTCCCAGTTAAATCAAAATTGCAGCTAGATTTAGATTTGAGATAGTAACGGCTTTTCAGTGTAAGAAATATGAGTCATAATATCGGCTCTTGTAAAATTGTCCCTCGGCAAATAATTGTCGGGTCTTGTCACATAAGCGATAAGTGGAAACGTACGTCTACCGGGTGGTCGGAGCGCAAAAAGCGTTGCGCCGTTCTACTTTTGTGGGGCCGCGAATTTACGTTAACGTAAATTTACCGTGAATTGGCGGGTGCCGAATGTCGATGTCTGGCGCAAGGACCAGATTCTGGATCGGTTCAGTATGTTACTATAACGCACGCGTGTTTTCACGTGCGGTAAACGTTACGCGTGCACAGTATACGTGCGGAATATAAATTGTATTCGGTGTACCAATTCAGGTGTACAAAGATACGATCGAGTAGAATTATTCAACAAGCCAGATAGAATGGTTTTAACAAATCGTCTAACTTATTTTTCTTAACTGATGTACTTTGCGCTCAGCGTCTCGTATAAGTTAATTTATGATTTTTCGCGTTTGTCAAAAATCTCTTAATCGTTACACGAATATTACGCGTCTTTTCACTGCGTTTCTTCTCGCGCGCTTCAAGGCGATAAATGCAATGTTCATTCACAAATAAGAATGTCTCTTTACTGCCAGTTTATCCGAAAAAGTCTGAAAACTCGCTTCGAGAGATTGATTGTGCAGATTTGTATCCGTACGTTTCGTGCGTTTGAAGGTAGCAATCACGATATATATATGCAAATTCTCGACAAACGCAACTGTCGTAAATAGAAAAGGTTAAAGTCAACCCGCTCCAACCGGCTCGCGACATGGTTGACCGAATTATTTTTCGACCTTTCCAAAATGGGAAAGTTACGAGACTGCAAGTAATACAGCATTTAAATGACCAGGAATCGATTCGGCAGTTTTCAGTCCGTGATAATCGAGCACAAATGGAACCAGAAATCCAAATTCTACAAGTGGAAGGTAGATTTAATGAGACACCCGCGACACTCGCCGCGCTAATCTCGCAAAATGTTGCTCGTTCTCTTTTAATGGGGTGCTTAATTCAGCGATGCAAAAACACACGGAATAACTGTAATTAACTGCAATTACATAAGACACTCACTTAAACGTAGAAACGTAACGTTGGCGGCGATGTCGCTAATCGCAATAATACGAGCCGCGGCGCGAGAAAACCTCCGTCGAAAGCCTTCGACGGTGTCTCGGTTTATCTTCCGTGATTACGTGGGAACGACGACGTTACGTGTCGCTGATAAATCCGCGACTCGCGTTGACGCTCAACAGAAGTACGATCGCACGAAGCACACGGGGTCTTCGTACCCGCGAATCGCGTTGCACGACGATCGTAAAACTGCGGGGCGATTTCGAAAAACAGTACCGGCGACCTCCGTGCCTTGCGGTCGCCGCAAAAATTCCTGAGAGAGAAGCGGACAAACGGCGGAAGCGACGCGGCCCGTGACTCCGCGAGGTCGTCCACGACTTACATCCGCAACTTGGTAGCGGTTGCACCATCGGATCATCGCGGCAAGCGCGATCGAGTATAGATCCCTTTCCTCTTCAAATTTAATTCAACGAATTAGGCTCGATCCGTGTACGATTCGATAATTACCACGAATATAATTTCTAATCGTACTTGAAAGGGAAATTCAAGGGGAGGAGGGGAGGAGCGAAAGCTCGCGATGCGCAACACGGCGCTGATAATTTCCGTCGTTAGTAAAAGCCGCCTACTCGCTCGGGGGGAAAGACACGGCCGGCGCATAATGGACAATGGCGAACGATTGCATCGGTCGCCGCGCGCGTTGTGTCGCGCGATGCGCTCCCAAGCAGGAAGGCAAAAGCAGAATGCACGCGTGTGTGGGCAGGTGAGATGCCAAGTAACATACCGGGACACGCCCCGCGTGCGCGCATTACGTTTCGCTATTACAGACGTCCGGCCGGTGTTCTCCGCTCTGTTACAATAGAGCGAGGAGGCCGATTCTCCGGAGCGCGCGTGCAGCGTTCGAGCTATTCGTGGCTGAGGTATCGAGAAGTATCGGGCCGTTAGCCGAACGTTACGCAAGGTTGCGTTTATGGAACTGTCTACCTGGCTGTCGCTCGCTCGGGGCTTTTCCGCGAATCGCCCCTGCGAATCAATGCAACGACCTGTTCGAGCAGCGTGATAATTATTAGTCGCCTGCGGCTGCAGGTGTACGCGACGATGTGTGGCACAATGCGGCATAAATTTTAATTCGGCTTCATTATTAACGCAGAATAGGAGTTTTGGCGTCGATATTGGTCTTTTAGAATTGACATTGTTCCTGAAATAACGTACAGCCTGTCGTGAAACAGGTGTACAAACAAAACAATACACGTGTAAATGACGATTGAAAAGTTTTTCCACTGGTCGGGTCGAGGGGGAAATCTCTGAGGGTATTGTGGTGTACTGATTCGCGGCATTACTGGGCATTGAACTAGGCATTTTTGGGGCATTAGTTTGGGCATTAAGCCTTGCTGGGGCATTATAAAGATATAATAAGATAAAAAAAGATAAATAAAATAAAATAAGCTAATAAGATAAAGTAATGCCCGCTGGGCATTAGTGGGCATTGGTGTACAAGATTTTGGTCAGCGGTTTTTTCCTCGGGTCGGGTGAACTGGTGAACGCGGAAAGGCTGCATTGGGGATGATAATACAAGATGCGACACGAGCGAGGAAGATGTTCGAAATATATTGGAGTGAATTTTTCTCGGCGAAGAGCTCGCAATTTTCCGCATCGTTTAACGTTCTAATCCGTTCCCCGCCGTGATGATTTTCTTCGGCGTGCCGCGACGGGCGAACAGTTATGTCATCAAAACGCAGGTCGAGAGAGACCGGCATTAATTGGTGGTCTTTCGAGCGCTGCGCACTCGGACGTGTGTGCACGTATGTTTTAATTAGCCGTCCGCACGTGAACGGGTGCAGTGATGTTACAGTTATTCGCTCGCGGTGGCACGTGCCGCGAAGCTAATCGCGGCATATACAGTTCGTTTAAAAAACGGCGAACAAACACGCCAGGCACATTGTAATTTCAGATGCACCGAAGTCACACCGAAATATGAGATACGCGTCGGTAACTCTCTCGTTCTCTCGCGCGAAGCGCTTGGATTGGAAACAAAAAGGGTCCCGTCATCTCTCCTCTATTTGCCCATTGAGATCTCGACGTATGCCTGACGGCACGTTTCATTGCGCCATCCGCGCGAATTAATTTTGACCGGGGGCTACAAGAACTTAATAAACTCGGCAGGATACGGCGGGTAATTTGTAACTAATCCCAGAGGCGGCGGTACGCCCGCAACCGGATGCTGCAAGTGTGCTCGCGA